GCTAAAGCAAATCCTGCTCTGTAGTGTCAGCTCCTGAGCAATGGCTCTTCCATCGTACTCATAGCCAGCCCTCACAATGAATCAACCCAAAGGTCAATTACTCTCATTGACATGAAAACAACAACCAAAGCTCAACAGCAACAGGAGGGAAAACACACCCCACACAAGTGACACACCTGGACTGCCTGGCTCAGGTGACCAGGGAGGCTGTGCCACTAGGCCCTAAAGAATGTCTACTACCTAAGGCCACTCTATCAAAACCAGGGGACATAGCAACTCTAACACATAGAAACAAATGCAGGGAGGCAGTCAAAGTGGGGAGACAAAAAAGATGTCCCAAATGAAAGAACAGAACAAAATTCCAGAAAAACAACTAATCAAAATGGAGATGAGCAATCTACCCGATGCAGAGTTCAAAACAGTAGTTATAAAGATGCTCAATGATCTCAGTGAGAACTTCGACAAAAAGCTAAGAAACATAAGAATGGAGATAGAAAACATAAAAAAGAGCCAATCAGAAATGAAGGATATAATAACTAAAGTGAAGGATACATTAGAGGGAATCAACAGTAGATTAGATGAAACAGAGGTTCGAATCAGCAATTTGGAAGATAAAGTAGCAGAAAACATTCAATCAGAACAGCAACAAGAATAAAGAATCCAAAATAGTGAGTATAGTTTAACGTCAGGCATAACAACATTAGCTTCATAGGGGTACCAGAAAGAGAAGAGAGAGCAAGGAATTGAAAACCTATTTGAAGAAATAATGATGGAAAACTTCCCTATGATGGTGAAGGAAATAGACATATAAGTCCAGGAAGCACAGAGAGTCCCAAACAAGATAACCCAAATAGGCCCACACCAAGACATCATAATTAAAATGCCGAAGGTTAAATACAGCATGAGAAAAGCAGTTAGTTACCTATGAGGGAGCTCCTGTAAGGTTGTCAGCTGAGTTCTCAACAGAAACTTTGCGGGTTGGAAGGAATTGGCACAAAATATTCAAAGCGATCAAAAGCAAGGAGCTACAACCAAGGTTACTGTACCCAGATAGCAAAGCTATCATTTAGAATTAGAGGACAGATAAAGAAGTTCATCACCACTAAATCAGTATTTAAGAAGAAGAAAAAAATAACAAATATGAATAATAAAATGGCAATAACTACACACCTACCAACAATTACTTTCAATGTAAATGAGTTAAATGCCCCAATGAAAAGACACAGGGTAACTGAATGGATAAGAAAATAAGACCCTTACATATGCTGCTTACATGAGACTCACTTCACATTGAAAGACACACATAAGTCTATGGCCATGCCACCCTGAACAAGCCCGATCCTGTCTGATCTCGGAAGCTAAGCAGAGTCTGGCCTGGTTAGTACTTGGATGGGAGAACACCTAGGAAGACCAGATGCTGTAGGCGTTAAAAAAAATAATAAGGGATTGTAAGCTGACAAGGCCCTTGCATCTGTGAGGTCAACCAAGGGTTGCCTTGCCTGAAAAAAAAAAAAAAAGAAAGAAAGATACACAGACTAAAAGTAAAAGAATGGAAAAAGATATTTCATGAAAATGGAAACAAACATACACACAAATGAAAAAGTTGGAATAGCAATACTTATACCAGGCAAAATAGACTTAAAAATAAAGGCTATATGTAACAAGAGACAAAGAAAGACCCAGTAATCTTACTTCTGGGTATTTATCTGAAGAAACCCAAAACACTGCTTCGAAGGGAACTGTGAATCCATATATTCATTGCAGCATTATTTATAGTAGCGAAGATATGGAGACAAGTTGGGTGTTCATCAATGGATAAATGGATAAAGGAAAGGTGGTACATATATACAACAGAATATTACTCATTCTTAAAAAAGAATGAAATCTTGCCATCTATGACAACGTGGATGGACCTAGAGAGTATTGTGCTAAGTAGGGTAAGTCAGACAGAGAAAGGCAAATGCCATATGATTCCACTTACATGTGGAATCTAAAGAACACAATAAACAAATAAAACAGAAACAAACTTATGGATTCAGAAAACATTTGATGGTTGCCAGATGGGAGGGGGTTGGGGAGTGGGTAAAAAAGGAGAAGGGATTAAGAAGTACAAATTGGCAGTTACAAAGTAGTCATGGGGGTGTAAATTATAGTGTAAGGAATATAGTCAATAATATTGTAATAATTATGTATGGTGTCATATGGGTACTAGATTTATTGAGGTGATCATTTTGTAAGTTATAGAAATGTCTAATCACTGTGTTATGCACCTGAGACTAATATAATATTGTATGTCAACTATAATTGAACAATAAAAAAGTTATTTAAAAAAGCCTTCTGGTCATATTTTCTCCTGATACCAGCATAATATTTAGAAGAGATAAGTCAACTAAGACTGGTAAAATATCTAAATGTGTATGCTCTAGAGGCATAGAAGTAATTTACAATATAAAAATTTCATGTTCCATATTCACCCCTCCCTTTTTTTTGCAATTCAGTCTTGCTAAATCAATGTGGTTCATTGAAGCTCAGGGTTTTGTGACTTCTAAAATTAACTTAGGCTTCTATGCTCGTGGCAGGGCTTTGAGCTCATGGTAGAGATTCACACAGTGATTTGGATTGTGCTAGAAGCTGTGGAGCTGCTCTCTTTAGCTTGTGGTTATGAAACATATTATACTTTGGGCAGGGACAAAAGTATGGGTTTCTCCCTGTCTGTCTGTGTCTGTGTCCATCTCTCTCTCTCTCTCTGTCAAGCCTTTCTAAAGAATTCTAGTATATTAGATTCATTTAAAAACGTTTTTTGGAAGACATACAGTTAGTCCAAAAGAATTTTATATTCTGAATTATCAACTTATATTTGGAAGGAACCATAAAGATAATCTATTTCAACTACTCCCCTGATTCCTAACTCTCCTCTGCAACATTCCCACCAAATGATCATGCAGTCATACACTCTTGCTTAAGCTCTTTTAGACATCGCACTTCTACTTATGTTGAAATAAAAATCTGTTACCTGGAACTTTTTATTCACTGGTGTTATTTCCTTGGGGCCATACAAAAATTTTAATCCATGATGAACCTTCATATATTTGAAAATATATGAAAATAATTCTTATTGTCTCCTTGTAGGTCCCCCCTCCACCAAGTTAAACTGTGGCACTTTCTACTAACTTGAAATTTTTTGGGTCCATGTGCCATCATAATCTGTCTCTTGTGAAGGTATGCTAGTTTATCCACATCCCATGACAGAACTGAATAAGTATTCAGAGTATGGGTTAACCAGCACAAAATGAGTAGTATAAAAATAAAATTCCTAAAACCTATACTTTTAAAGCAGACTAAAATTGAATTTATTAGAAGCCACATCCTGCAACTCCTACGTTTCCATTTCCTGTCTGCTTAAATTCCTCTCCTAGCTACCTCTCTTTGGAAAGTGCTCTTTACATATTCATCTTCAATCTCCATATAGCAACTATAATGGGGGCTCTTTTAGTCCTTATTCTCTTTGAAGAGTTGGCTATCTTCTAATCATCCTTTCTTTTTGAAACTTTAATTTTCCTTAATTATCAGAACATTTATTATACAGGATTTCCTTATATCTTCCAATAGCTTAGTTAATTTTCTTCTTCAACCTATTATATACAACAGGCTCAGTTCTTGTACATCTGCTTCTGCTAGCTCTGTACTTTCTCCTTTGGGGAGCTTATTTACTCTATAGCTTCAATTGTTACCTCTATTGGGCTGACTCTAGACCTCTCTCAAAAGACAAGTGTTATTGTTTGTCCCTTTAAACACATCAATTTGTTGTTCCTTCCCTGTCCCACAAACTAGTTCTTAGTTTGTTATTAATGTTCTGTCACCCAGTTTGAAAAGTTATGGAGTCATCAATTGTTTTTCCTTTTTCTTACTCGTATGTAGACAGTCATCAAGAAGTAGTGATTCTTCTTTGAAATACCTCATATCTAATCTATTTATTCTTTTTCCATCACTTACTATTCCAAGCACCTCTTAACTAAATTTACTACCTATGATGTTTCTCCTCTTCAATCTATTTTGCACAATCACATTTAATGTTTTTTTTTTTTTAATGCAACCATATTTACTTGACTGTTCTTCACAAATACCTCCAAAAGCTTCCAGTCGCCTGATCAGTATAATATAAATTCTAGATTTGTGTTTCAAATCCCTTTGGAATCTTCTAACCTTCCTTTTCAAAATTATACCCCAGAATCCTTCTCACGAACCTGCTGCAACAATAAAATCGCCTACTTCTCAGAGAGCATGGTGTGACAATCTTTAATCTCATTGCCTTTCTTCCGCTTTTTCTACTTCATCAGAATATCAACATCTTATCTATCTTTTGTGACATGTCACATACCATCATTCCCTTCACCATGAAGGTATCTCCTTTACCTTCTTATTCTAAGAGGTTGCTAACTCCTGTGATATTGTCCATCTAAGCTACATTTTGACACTTAGGTTTTATTTTTTAAAAAATTATTACATTATATCACTACTTACGTTATAATCTACTTGATGGCCGGGACTCTGACTTATATTTTTCTGTATACTCCTTATTGTTAGAAAAGTGCTTTGTAAACCATAGAAAGTTATGGTAACTTTTTGTTATTTTGTTACAAAATATTGTAAGAGATACAATATTTGTCAAAGAAAATTTTTATACATTTATTTAATCAAACTGTTTTATTTCAGAAAGTATTCATTCTTTCTTAATTAAAGCATATAAGTATCAACTTATAAAACAGTTAAAAGCTGAAGTGGTCTAAAAATGGTGAAACTTCTAAAGCTGAGAGGTCTAAAAATGGTGAAACTTCTAAAGAGCAGAAACTCTGTCAACGTATAGATTAAAGGGATTCTATAATTATGATCTATTTAAGAAATGGCTGGGATATGACTTGGATCTGGAGGATGAAATAAAAATCTGTGGGCCTTCCTTTTATTTACTCTTACTCTTCTACCTTTTGTTGTGCTTCCTTCCTTTACTTGTCTTTGCCCTTTTTTGAAGCTTCTACTTTTTTACCCTTGACTTCTGGTTCTTTCTTTCCTTTAGCTTTGTCCTTTCCTTCATCACCTTTCTTGTTTTTGGCATCATTTTGTTTTGTATCTTTGTTCTTCTTTGCATCTCCCTTTTCTTTGTCTTGCTCTCTTTGATCTTCGGAACTCTCCTTCTTTACTTGAACTTCTTGTATTTGTGGTAGCCCAGCTTCACTCTTCTTTACTTGGGCTTCTTGTCCTTTTGGTATTCCTGACTCACTCCTCTCTGCTTGGGCTTCTTGTCCTTGTGGTATTCCTGACTTGCTCTTCTCTACTTGGGCTTCTTGTCCGTGTGGTATTCCTGACTCCCTCCTCTCTATTTGGGCTTCTTGTCCTTGTGGTATTCCAGCTTCACTCTCCTCTACATGGGCTTCTTGTTTTTGCGATATTCTGGCCTCACTCTTCTCTACTTGGGCTTCTTTTTCTTGTGGTATTCCAGCCTTACTCTTCTTTACTTGAGCTTCCTGTGTTTTTAGTATTCTGGTGTCACTCTCCCTTACCTTGACCTCCATTATTATCTGGCCTTTCTCCAACTCAATGCCTTTTGCTTTGCTTTTTGACCCTGTTTTGCGCACTGATGTCAGGGACTCATCAGAATCTGTGAATAAGAGTTCCTTCGTTAGTGTTTCCTTGTTTTCTTCTTGGCTACTCCTACTAGACTTTGTAGTGCCACTTTTTAGAATTGGGGCTTTGGGAACTGATTTTTTTGTAAGTTCTCCATCCATGTAACCTGGAAATATAACTGAGCACACAACAAAAGTGTACGATTCAGATACCAAGTACTTTCTCTTTATTCCTACTTTCCCCCCGATACTGTTTTTTTTTGTCTAAAACCCAAAAAACTGGTGATAACTTGAGTTTTTCCTGAAAATATAAAATAGTAGAATGCTACACATAAAATTATAATAAGTATTGAGAACTTTTCAGACTTTTCAATAAATTACAAGATTAATGAAAGAAAAGATAAAATGTATTATAAGTGAACTGGCATTTCTTCAGTTATGGTAGTAATAGTGCTTTATAGCTAAATTAGGATGCATTCTGAAAAGAAATGAAATTTATTTTTAGAAAAAATTGTGAAAAAAGCAGTAATTATTTCTTAAATTAGAAAAAAGAAACTCAAAATATGCTTTTCATATTAAATAAAAGCACATATCATTATGCAAAAGTAATAATAATACTAGCTGATAATTATTAGGTGCTTACCATATACCAGGCACTCACTTTTCTGAGAATATTCTATGTATTAACTCATTTAAACCTCATAACAATCATATAGGGTAAGTATTATTACTACCCTCATTTTACAGATGAAGAGACTGAGGCACAGAAAGTTTAAATGAATGTGAATATGGTCATGAAGTTAATAGGTGGTGGAGCTTGGATTTGAACCTGAGTAGTCATACTTCAGAGTTCAGTTTTAACCACTACCATATACTGTTTCTTGCAATATCTGCTAACTTACTTTGCAAAAATTTCAGGTCTCTTTATCATGTATAGGTAAATCAGCTCTGCTATGTTTCATTTCCGTGTTATCTAATAAACTTGAATTCATTAGCTTCTGCTATTTTTAAAATTTTAATTTTATTATTATTATTTTTTTAGTGACTTTATTCCATGAATTAAGAATAAAAAGAATATCTATGCAAAGAGAATTATGTTAATTCTTGCTATGGAGCAAAGGTATATCTTGCTTGGAAAAAAATCTAACATTTAATATTAATATAGTAGAAAGAATACTGAACCCCTGTGTTTACTATTTCTGCTAGCAGGGTTTATTTGGGTAAATCAGTTAATCCCCCAAAACTCACTCCTTATATTTAGTCTGCTATGCCCACTTTGAATTTAAGGATTCTAGACAAATAGTTTAAGGAGCATGGTTTTTAGAGACAGACTCATTCAAATCTTGGTTCCACACATAACCTGCTGTGTGACCTTGGAAAAACTTTACTTTTTTATCTGTAAAATGGGAGTAATAGTAGTATCTACTTCATAGAAGTATTATGAGGATTAAATAATATTATCTAAGTAAATCACTCAGTACAGTACATGGCACATTGAAAGTAGTCATTAAATATTGGCTATTACTATAATTAAATGAGATAGTATAGGCAAAAATTCTCTAGAAACCATCAAGACAAGGCATTTTAATTTATTTTATTTTTTTACTTTTTGTTTTTTAATTGTTTTAGACAAGGCATTTTTAGTTCCAACAAAATAGTTTAGAGGAATGGTTAATTGCATTACAGGAAGATTTCTTGCATAAAAATTAATTATTTGGCTTTTTTAAATATCAAAAGCTTTTTGGTACATTTAGAGTTTGATGTTTGAGAAATCGACATACATGTCAATGAATTTTATCAGTTGTAAAAAGTGAGACACATCTGTATTAGGTATGAAGGTAGCCATAAATCAGAATGGATGTCATAGCTCAGTGTTTTCTCTTTGGTATTTTAAACTTTAGATACCAAAATAAAAATAACATTAGAACCCTTGCATTAATGCTTTCTGAACCTTTTTGTGTATTTTCCTCCCTAGTGCTTGTTCGATAAGATATGGGTACTGACATTTTATTCTAGACAAATCCATTCCCAATTTTCTAATGAAAATCAGTGGTACTATATCCCAAGCATTATTCTGCATTAAGAAAAACATTCCAGAATATTTTGATATCTGTCAGTATTACTGGTGAACACTTATTGTGTTTGGGGTGTTGTTGTGTGGTGTGGACAAGAGCTGTTTTTCCACTGAAGCTTCTAACTTTACAAATTCTATGGAATGTATTTATAAACAAGCTGATTTTTCTTAATATATGAATAATTTTTAGTTTTATCATTTCTTGGGGGTAATTTGTTTTATGTTTACTACTGTGTATACTAATACATAACTCATTTTTAACCTAAATTTTTTAAATCAAAATTAAATATTCTAGGATATGAAACAATCAGTGTTTATTCTAACTATATTTTTCCTAATTTTATAAAAGTTTGAAGAATTTGATTCTTTTCCCTGCTTTACTGAAAAAAACCTTTAGTCACTTCTAATAGTATCTTCATACCATGATTTTAATATTTTTACTGTATATTTTCTATCTTGAACTTAACAGAAATTAGGTTTGCTAGGATTTACTTTTCAGGAATCTAGCTATCCCATAAAGTGCGATTCACTTTTATTTAAACTTTGCATTGCAGAAGTTAAGGCATAAATCATTATCCCACCAAATTCTACGCTTTTTTCTTCCTTCTACCAGATTTCTAGATGGTGCATAAATATTTACTTTCCCTTGGATTTCACAAGCTCCACAATATATACAATTGTAAACCCTGGCTGAATGTCCATTTATTATAGGCAGTAACTTGTATAACAAAATTCTAATATAATCGAAAGAATTAATCAAGACCTTGGCGATCATTATAATGTATTTAGGCTGATTAAAAATTTTAAACTGAGCGGGGAGGTAGGGAGGGGTAAAGGGGGTCAAATATATGGTGACAGAAGGAAATTTAATTTTGGGTGGTGAACACACCCAGTGCAATATACATATGACATATTATTAAACTGTACACCTGAAACCTATATAATTTTATTAACCAATGTCATCTCAATAATTTTAATTAAAAAATTTTTAATTGGATTAAATTTGTTAAAGTGAAAGATATCAAGAAATAGCTATACATTAAACATTCTAATTATATTTTACTTAAAATAATGTAGAAAATAGACCATGGGCTTTATTAGGAAACTAATCATATTAGGTTCTTAATCCAGGGCTGTCAGGGAGAACGTAATCAGATCTAGACTTTATAAGATCTATCAAGCATTAGAGAGATGAATCATTATAGTTCTCAGGCCATGAATCAACATTTAAGTAGATCATATACTTATTAGTTGGATGTGGAGGTAAGAAAAGAAGGGACTCAACTTGAGAGATGATGAAGTCTGATTTATCTTAAATCTTTCTTTGAACTATGAGTTAAACCTTAACCTCCTTGTACTAAAAATACCAACTGGGAAAAATATGTTTGAAATATTGCCAGTAAGAATACATCTTTTAAAAGAAAAAAATTAAAAGATTAAACTGATTTTTTCTGGCATTTAAAAAACATATTTATTAAAATCTAATTCACCTCCAGGACGGGAATTGGCCTGCGTTCCCTTCTCATAGCCTTCCTTGTTTCGTAAGGAAAACACACAGTCTTATCACCTTCTCCATGTGGGGAGGGAATTTGAGGGATGCATACACATCATGACTGCTCTGAACGCATATTTTTTCTTGTGCTGTGAATCAAAAGAAAATAATTGTCTCTTTCAACTTTACCTCCTCTCCCCCAATCACAAACCTATCTATTGTAAACTGAGAAAGAAGAGTGAGGCTTAAACACGATTAAATATAAAAATATATTTTGCATCTGTCAGTGTTTAGAATGTTTGAGATGCTTGAAATGTATCTCGCTACATTTAAGTCTTACTTGCTTCTTTTGGTTATATATTTACAGAGTTTTAAAAATTACTATTCTATTTTGTTTCATATGATTTCCTTGAAGAGCTGAGCCATACATCCTGATATAGAGAAATCTGAATTTAGAAAAAAGTTAAAAGCCAAACATCAGTTTAAATGGGTTGTCTTCTATTTTTAACTTTTTTTGTGTATATTGATTTAATTGATAGCTTCTCTAGTAGATGCATATTTGTATTTACAAACATTTGATTTATAGATAATGTTTCAGGACTAATCACAAAAAATGACATTTGTGGTTCAGTATAGGATGCAATGTGTTGGTATGGAAGGTGTTTTTATTTCAGAAATAAGAAGTCTTGGGTTTATATCCTGACATTGCTGTTTACCAACTCTTTAATTCTGGGCAAATGTCTGAGCCAGTTTCCTGATCTGTAAAGTGGGGCATAATAATAGCTATCAGACAGGGCTATGGTAAGAATCAGAGTTACTATTTTTGAAAATGCCTAGCACAGAGCACAGTATATAGTAGGTGCTCAGTATCTACTACCCTTCAAAGGTAAAATATTTAGAAGGCAACAGAAAATAGATAAGGTTTTGTTCTTAATTTTTTTCTATTAATATGACTGAGCGGGGAGGTAGGAAGGGGTAAAGGGGGTCAAATATATGGTGACAGAAGGAAATTTAATTTTGGGTGGTGAACACACCCAGTGCAATATACATATGACATATTATTAAACTGTACACCTGAAACCTATATAATTTTATTAACCAATGTCATCTCAATAATTTTAATTAAAAAATTTTTAATTGGATTAAATTTGTTAAAGTGAAAGATATCAAGAAATAGCTATACATTAAACATTCTAATTATATTTTACTTAAAATAATGTAGAAAATAGACCATGGGCTTTATTAGGAAACTAATCATATTAGGTTCTTAATCCAGGGCTGTCAGGGAGAACGTAATCAGATCTAGACTTTATAAGATCTATCAAGCATTAGAGAGATGAATCATTATAGTTCTCAGGCCATGAATCAACATTTAAGTAGATCATATACTTATTAGTTGGATGTGGAGGTAAGAAAAGAAGGGACTCAACTTGAGAGATGATGAAGTCTGATTTATCTTAAATCTTTCTTTGAACTATGAGTTAAACCTTAACCTCCTTGTACTAAAAATACCAACTGGGAAAAATATGTTTGAAATATTGCCAGTAAGAATACATCTTTTAAAAGAAAAAAAAGATTAAACTGATTTTTTCTGGCATTTA